GGCATAGTTGCTGTCCTTACAATGCACCAACTGTTCAAGCAAAACAGATTTGAAGGATTTTTCTTTTTTTTTTTTTTTTTATAGAAAATAACTTCATAATATTATCAGTTATGCAGCTCTTGTGTAATGATTTCTTTGGGGTGCCCTAATAAACCCAACTATTACGCACTAACACACAGGCATTTCTGAAATGGAAACTTGACAAATAAACAATAAAAGACATTTTATTTTGAATAGATATTTTTAGCTCTTGAACTTGATGTGCATTAAGGAGTAAATACATATTAATTTCATGTTAAGTGCAAGTTGTTAACCCAGCGCATGCCACTGCACAGACTGGAAAAGATCTTACACCAAAAGTGTATTAATTACATATTCTTTGTTTTCAACATCAGGCAACTGGAGATGCAGCCTGCTTAATAATGCTGGAGGCTATATTTAATGGTTGATAGACCAGACTGTAAATCTTTATCTTTTCCCAAACATGCAGGATCTCTAGAGATGCTGAAATACACATTTTATGCCATTTCTCAGTTTTCACTATTTCTATCCCCTAACGCCTCAGCTCCTACTAATACCATGTGACCTTTAAAGGGCAGCACATCTTGTGAAATATTACTCCATTGTTCTTGGCCAAGAAGGCTGAAACTTGTGTTTTAATCTTTGGTCTTTTCTGACTACCTCTATACCTAGCAGATCCAAAGACTGTATAGTGCCAAATTGCCTGGCAGAGTAATTCAAACACTTTCAGCTGACTGAGCAGAAGGTAGCACTGATTCCTGACTCACTGTGCACATTCCAGAACTAAGCATTTTCCTTTACACAAAACTCCAAATTATTTCAAAGCACTTGTATTCCCAGCTGCACCTGGTCTCCAACTTTACTTACCCCACGTCAAAGTAACCAAAGTAAGTCATTCACTGGAAAGAACTTATGCAAATGCAAGGAGCTTGTTTTCAGTATTTTCAGATGGCTTTACTCCTGCTAGAATTTCAAATAATATAATCTTGATTGAGCAACCTGGTCAGGCCTAGCATGATTGGCATTGCTACCTTTTCAGAAGGCTTTATACAATAAAGAAATGAGAGAGGGCGCTTGAGGCAATGAGTCTTTGAGTCACCTTAGTGATTGGATTTGTTCACCTTAATTCCCTGATCTGTTTTATGAGAAAAGACTGTTTCTGTAGTATGCAAAAGCAGATAAAGTCTTTAACATGCATTTGAAATAAATATGCACGTACTAGCTCGTTGTTTACCCAGGCAATCGGTGACATTCTATCATCTGTGCAATCCTATTTGAGAAAAGAAGTTGCAGCAGTTTGTCAGAAAAAGATGCTGCATCTGAAAGGTCTGCCAAGTTTATCAGCATCGATCCAGTGCAGGGAGATGATGAAACACTTCAGGTCCTTGGCAATCTTTCATCTGCAAATAGGGAGGGTTCTCTCACAGGGAAGAAATAACCTTTTGAAGAAAGATCTTTTGACTAAAAGGTTCCTTTTGGTTATGATCCGGGGAAAAGGAAAAAAAAAAGGCAGAAATAAAATAATAACAAAAATAAATATTTCTTCTGTATAGCAGCAATGCTGAGCATCAGTAAGATGCTTAACTGACCTGTTAGCAAAGCTGTGTATCTGTTGCTCACCAGCATACTGACTTTGCTAATACTGATTTTGGCAGTCACCCACATAAACCCTCTCAACGATGCACTACGGCAGTATCCTGATATATTCAAATGAAAGTAGTGAATTACCTTAAATCATAGGTCATGATTTTTTAATCTAGCAATTTGACAGTTTATAGAAAATCTTCCCATATTCAGGACAGAATGAATTCCTACAGATTTTGAGCAGGCAGGCAGCTGGCAAGAGATTCAAATGAGCATTCCAGCTGAGCTCCAGGTAGGGAAATATCACCCATATCATTAGGAATAAAAACAAACAGCAAAACCTTACACAAGAGCAAGACATCATGAACACCTCGTCCTCAGGGGAAGAACTCACAGAACAATCTAATCACAGGAAACAAAGGCATGAACCCCCAGTTTCCTAAATATCTCTTTCATGGAATTTTTCTTCCATTAAATACTTAAATAATTAAGCTCAATTAATTGAACAGAAGAATGTTAAACTGTATTCCCTGACGTTGGCATTTATCAAGCTATAGTATAAACAAACTTGCTCTCTTTAGGCATTAGGCTTCTCTGAACAGAACCCTCATAACTGCAGTGTTTATACTCCTACAAAATAAAACCATTATTATAATACTATAGATTCTTTACTCAAGACTAAAAAAACAACATTAGGCAAAGTTAGAACAATGTTTACATTATTTGAGAAGTAGTTTTGAGGTCTAAACCTAATAAAGACAGTATGGTTTTCAATACTGCACTCTAAGGTAATTAAAAAATAGATCCCCAAGGCTCCATTACTAGTGGTTTATAGGCATCTCCTTCTCAAAAGCTCAAACACAGATTCATGGAAACTAAAAGGAATTATTCAATGAATTTTGCTTCTAAAACGGAAGTTAAAAAATACACAAAGACTTATTTTCACTTTTTAATATTTTATTTGGCTACTGGTGTTCAAAAAACAAATTTGCTCAAAATCCCATGGAAAAATATAATTGAAGAGCATCAAGGTGTCATATTTTATCCCTGCTACAAATTTAAATTCCCAGATTTTCTTACAGTCTCTGGCATGTCATTCACTGGCCGAAGGAATGGGAGATTGGAAAGATAGCTATGGTGGTGGTACAGCTACACAGGAAAAATAACTACAAACCCCAGTAAAAGTATACATTTAATAGCTTTTTGTTTGTTTTTAAGGGTGATCTCAAGAGCTGAAAAAAGTAACCCAAGTGGGACTCCATTAATTGGCTTTTATAACGGGCGTGCCTTATTTTTTTTCTTATCTAGATAATAGTTCTGCCATCTTGCCTTCGCTCAGACATTGCCTTATGCCAAGTTATTTTTGGGTTAGTCTAGAGCAGCCTGTTCTTCAGCCTCACAATAAAGACTACAGCCAGCCCATAAATAACACTGTAGTGTTAGGGGATTGACACCAAAGTGCCAACAGGGTGAAGGGCAGGAAAGTCTTCCTTCATAAAATGGTTAAGCTTGAAAGTGACCTTAAAGATCATCTAGTTCCAACTCCCTGCCACAGGAGAGGACACCTTCCACTAGAAAAGGTTGCCCAAGGCTCTGTCCAACCTGGCCTTGAACACTTCCAGGGATGAGGCATCCACAGCTTCTCTGAGCAACCTATTCCAGTATCTCACCACTGTCACAGTAAAGAACATTTTATTTATATCTAATCTAAACCTACCTTCTTCCAGTTTTAAGCCATTCTCCCTTGTCCTGTCACTACATGCCCTTTTAAAAAAAGTGCCTCTCCAGATTTCTTGTAACCCCCCTTTAGGTACTGGAAGCTGCTCTAAGGTCTCCCCTGAGCTTTCTCTTCTCCAAGCTGAATAACCCCAGCTGTCTCAGCCTGTTTCCACAAGAGAGGCACACCAGCTGTAGGTGGTCTCCTCTGGACTCACTTGAACAGGTTCACTTCCCTCTTGTGTTAGGGGCCCTACAGCTGAATGCAGTACTCCAAGTGGGGTCTCATGAGAGCAGAGAAAAGGGGCAGGATCACCTCCTTCGACCTGCTGGTCACACTCCTTGGGATGCATCCCAGGATACAGTCGGCTTTCTGGGCTGCAAGCGCACACTGAAGCCATTCATATTCATTTTCTCATCAACCAACACCCCCAAGTCCTTCTCTGCAGGGCTGCTCTGAATCTTTTCTCTGCCCAACCTGTAGCTGTGCCTGGGATTGCTCTGACCCAGGTGTAGGACCTTGCACTTGGCATGGTTAAACTTCATGAGGCTGGCATCAGCCCACCTCACAAGTGTGTCAAGGTCCCTCTGGATGGCATTCCTTCCCTCCAGTGTATCAACCGAACCGCACAGCTTGGTGTCATCGGCAAACTTGCTGAGAGCACACTCAATCCCACTGTCCATGTTAATGACAAAGGCTTGAGGCTAACACAAGTATGGTGAAGAGCACTCAGGGAGAGCTCACCATCACTTTGTGTTGGTTTTCAGAACAGAATTCTTAGTTAAATTCAGTAAGATAATAGACCCCTTACATTCAAGCATGAGGAAAGGTAAAAGCCCCATTCTCTTTCCTAAGACCAATAAAGTCTAGGTTGAAGCATTGCTCCAAATGTCAGTTTAAAAGCAAATACAATTCAAAGGTGTTATCAGAAGCTTTGTGGCATGGCCAGGGTCTGTGCAAAGCAGCACAGAATAGCACAGCAAGCGTTAAATGAGCTCATGCAGATGACAGAAAGCCTAGTCACCGACAGGAGAGTATTGTAAGGGATAATTTATCCCACCTTTTACAAAGCCAATTAAATCATAATGACCTCCTGCAGCAAGACTCAACTAAGTAGGTTGCAGTACCAAAAAAAGATAGAAAACAAGAGAGGAAATTCTCAGTAATGAAGTATCATACCAGAGCCTGCAGTCCAGGACAGTGGCACCTGGCAGCCCTGCAGAGAGCTTCAGCTCTCCTTGCTGTTGTTAATGCTTCAGCTTCTCCAGCAGCCCATGTTGGAGCATTCAGTCAGCATACATTTTTTCCACAACTTTGATGGGGAAAGATAGTATTATTTTTATGTGAGTGACTCCTGTTTGGAGAAGCAACACAGCGAGGAAGGCAAGGAAACACAGCCAGACCTTTTCCCCTGCTTTAGTAGCAATCGATAGAGTCACTCACACCACTGAGAGAACATAGCCAGCTCAAAGCAATTTTCTCAAGGTGAGAGGCCACAGAAACAACAAAATTGCCAGCAACAGAAGCTCCAATTCCCAATGAAAGGATTCCCAAGGTTGTACAGAAAGTAATGAATATCAATTCTGCTGCAATATTATTTACCTCCTAGGAGAAAACACTCTCCAGCACTCAGGCTCAAGCACCTCTAAAAGTTCACAGGAAAAAATGACAACAGAGAGATGCAAGCCAGAGAGCAAACTGGGGGATCTATTCAGCAGCTATACCGGGGTCATGTACCTTATTTCTCTTTAGCACCCTGCCACAGGAAGCTTGGTAAAAATGAAGATGGTCTCAGTGCTGCTTCTGCTGAGCACCCTCCTGGGTACCCCTGCGGCACCTTCCCGGCATCCTTCTTGTTACCGGAGAGCCCTCAAAGACCACAGCTGTGACAGCATGCCCGATGGCACAGAGAACCTTCGCCAAATCGATGATGGTCTGCAAAATCATTTTTGGGAAGGGAAGGGAAGGGCTGTGACATGATCTGTTACTGCAGCTGGAATGAATTGCTCTGCTGCCCGAAGTAAGACCACACTCATTTTATATAAACCCGTACTGTTCTGTGTGACTGCTAATTATATATCCATCATTTTACATGATGGAATAAGCAACCATTTTAAAGAAATGCATCACCTCACATAGTTTGAAATAATATTGAGAGAGCCAATTACCTACTCCACCGACAGTTTTCAGGTTTTTTTTTCCAGTGTCTCACCTAGGACTTGCTTATGGTGTAAACCTCCATATCCTATTATAGGGGACTTCAGCGTTTAAATCACCCAATTTTTTACTCTTCTGTTTGATCTAAACTGAGCATGATAACTACATCATATCCTTACTCACAGCACTTTGCAAAGATTTCAGGACCATAAACAAAACTATTAGATTTCTGTTACACATTGAAGAACTATATTGCTATTCTAAGGCATATGCACATATGTCAGTTGAATAAATGATTCTGTAAAGACAGCTGTTTAAAGTAGGAAAGCAAAAAAGGAGAACAGAGGTTCACAAATGCCTGCAAGGGAGGGTAAAGATTTAGCTCAAGAACATAAACACTTCTTCAGCTCGCTGGCACTGCTGACAAAGCTGAATGGTGAAGTTCTCGCTGAACATGGGTTTTGCTGTTGTTGTTTTACAGAAAGAATGTACATCGCAACAAAATTAATATTGAGTTAATAAACACCACCGGCCCATATTGGCTTGAAGTAATAAAATGTATTAAGATGTATTATTTAATTCAGCTTTCCAGCAACATCTTTTATTCAGGAAATTTGATAAAAAATACCAACACTGCAAAACTTACTAATGCTTCAGGGACACTAGAATGTAATGGCATTATACAGGCAAGCAAAATTTACTTTTAATATGTGCTCCTCTTACGACACAAGTTTCTGATGTCCCCTAAAATCCAATAAAAGGCAACTTTTCAGCACTCCTGTAGGGGACTATGTCTGAACCAAGTGGGAATGACTTCTGCAGCTACAAACCTCATGTTCAAAGTGAACACAGTTTAAATAAGTTTTTCATATTTTACTTTGCCTAAAACTAGCTATGGTATCCTCACCCTGAAGCACACTTTTGGTGTCTAGTTTCAATCTCTGAACTGTGAGCAGCCTAATAAAACCTCTTACTTTGATACAAATACATAAGGTTTTACTTGAACCATCCTGAGGTACAGACAACCTATGCTGCAGGACTGCTCTCAGGACAAATGCACTAAACAGTACACATGTGCATGCTGAATGCATGCGCATGCTTTTTTAATATAATATTATGTATTTTATAAGTTTACTTTCTCAAAGATAAAATTCCAGGGTGGAGTCTGCACTGTTCAGGCAATAAAATGTTTTGCCATCTCTTCCAGATCAGGCCAGCAGAGGTAGAAATGCAGTATCTACATCTAGACCTGCAGTTGGATGTGCATTGCTGCAAGTGCAACCCATGAACACAGTAATCTTATGTATACCCCATCATAAGCTAAAAAGTCAACAACTAGACATGCATGCCATGTTAAAGCTCTGATAACCCAATGATCTAATTATTGAAATATCTGATAATATCTTTCAGGGATATTTTCTTTGGACCAAAGATATCTTTTGTGATACCCTGCAACAATCAGTGATGGATATAAAGTCTGCCAGTGAAGACAACAGACATCATTCTACAGTCACATAACAATGCTTTCAAAGGAGAAAACAAAACCACCACCTCAAAAAAAAAAACATTCTAACTGCAAGACAGTGCCTCTTTTTACACTGTACAAAAAAAAATTTTCTATACCTTTTCATAATCTCAAATATGTAAAAAGTTCTCCTTTCGAATCTGATAGCTGACTTAAATTCCCATAATGGTGTAAAAGACTGTACAAGCTCATAATGCTTTCTAATATTCACCCTGCAGCAAAAAGCCTAACTCTTGTTACTCAGCCCAACATTCTCAACAACAAGTCTGGATGAAGAAACTTCAAGCCTAAGCCTTCATGTCATTAGAAAGGTGACTCTTGTAGCAACTCACTGCTGTACAACTTCCTATTGCTTTGCCATCACACACTTAATGCTGCTTTAAGCTGAAACTACTCCGTCTCTGGCACTTCTGCAGACAGGCTCCCACAGTCTATCTAAACATCTTAAAATTACATGCACCTACAAAAGGCAAAATTTAACATTTAAAAATTCCATGGGGTGAAGGTGTGGAGGGAAGCAGGCAAAATGCACATTACTAGTCCACTAAAGCAGATTTATATGTGTAAGTGGTCACCTGCATTAACTATGCACTCTGTAAAACCTTAAATTGCTTAACATTGAACATTAAGATTCTAGGACACTTACAATAGCATATATATATATATATGTATCTCCAGAAAGACATCTAAAGAAGACAGGACTAATTTAGTCTGTTAAGGCAACATAAAAATCCACACTTAAGCAGCTTTTTTAATCAAGCCTTGTTTGAAATACAGTACTCCACAATTAATTTTTAATGCTGGGTTTTTATTTTTGGGCTAGCCCTGTAAGGCAATAGCTACGGAAGAGAAGACAAAGAGGTAAGCAATCATCTTAATGTTTAAGAGTTACCATGATCTAGGCTGTAGATAGTCACCTCTCAACGCCTGCCAACACCAACTGCAGTACAAGAGAAAAACAGCCAAAAATTTGTGTCCTTTTGTAAGTTTAAGGAAAACCACTTGAACAAAGCAGGCTTATAGGCAGTTAACCCGGCTTATTGCTTTACATACAAAACCTCTTTGGCTATCAAGTCATATGGAAGGTGTGTAGTACTGAAATAACTATTTAGCCTTTTCCAGTCAAAAAGTGTACTATTTATCTAATAACCTTGAACCATTACACCACAAAACCTGCTACCACCAGCTTACCAGACTTATTTCACATGCAGTATGAAATATCACAATGACTGGTTTTCTTCCTCTGTTAGTAAACCAGGGTTGGATGGTGAGGGAGGGAGGTGATTATACATAGCTAATAATAAATGTTTCAAGTAAATCTGTGCGTACTATTTTTGCCAAGTAATTTTTAGGCTACTAACTCTTAAACAGTTTGTGTCACCAGGCTTTTTAAGCCTGGTTTGTGTAATTATTCTCAAGCCTTTTAGGCTCCCTACCAAATCATCAATTAAGGGTAAAAAAAACAAACATAAATCTGACAACCCACACTCAAAATATCCAAAGTCAGTGCTCTGCTAAAAAAACACATGGTATCTGCTCTTGTGCGAAGTCCTCTATAACCATCTAGCAGTAACAAGGGCACATAACTTCTATTGGTTGTGCCATCTACTATCTGAATGAATCATGTAATATACGCCTGGCATTCACAGCTTTTCAAAGCAGCAGTAGCAAAAAAAATAAGGCAGATGCAAATCTGGGTGATAAAGTTAGTAGGTGGTTCTCAGTCACTTTCCTTCCACCACTCCTGGAAAATCCATAATCCACTGGAGCAAAATTCTGCTGCTTTCCACATATAGCAGGATATGGTCACTTTAGGGTACTACCTTAAGACTGATGTCCCATAGAAACTTGCTTTTGTTTCTCTCCTTTCTCCCAAAGGTTCTATGTGTCCTGCCAGGCCTAGGTGAGAACACTCACACCGGCCAGGCACTCAAGAGAAAAAGCTTTTGTCCTTTGGATGTCCTATGCATGGCCAGGCTCCCCTGGCTGTTTATACTTTAAATGTGACAAGCTGAATTTGTGCAGATATTTAGCAAACTTCACAGTCTCTCTAGTGAAATGGGCACTAAAACAGCTCTTCAAAGGAATACCAATTTTAGCTGCTACTACCTAGGTATCACTAACTGTCTTGAACTGCAGCCAACACTGCAGAACTTTATTGTAGAAATATATAAGACACTGCAAGTGAAAGAAATAAGGCCACTGAGAGCTACTGGGAAGGCAGCCAGTTTAAGGTTAGGTTTTATGGTTTATCATCATTCAGTTCAATGCAACTGTCACAGGTCAGAAAAAGCAAACTGCAGCATCTTAGTTACAGTGATGCTAGCAAAAGAGTAGTTTTCAAAAAATGCATAATATTAACATTGAGCAAATTAAACCACAGAAATACGGCTTTCTCATTTTTCCCCAAATTAAGAAAAACCTTTTCAACATTAGATTATGGCTAAGAGTTGCAACAAATGCTAACTGAAAAAGCTGAAGCTGTGCTCTCTTCTGCTTTAAGAACTGTTTCCCTTCCACGTTTTCAATTCAGGTGTCATTTAAAGAAGAAAAATCATATTCCATACATAACACATTTAGACTGGCACAACAGTTAAATGACAATAAAAAGTCATTCATAATATCATGTTCAACAACAGACTTTACTAAGATACTCAGTTAAAAGCAAAAGTATTGCTGGATATTTCTCATATCTGTTATCATAAGTTTTGTTTGGGGATTTTTGTTTTTATAGTTTTAACAGGCCTGAGCTAATGCATGCAATGAAAAAGAAGTAGCATGCCTATTAAAAGATACTATATTGACCCAGCACAGACTCCGTCTTCCATTCTCCAATTAAGTTCTGAGCAGCAGCCTATGTAGACAAATGGAGAAGTCAGCAGCTAAAGGATTTCTTACCGAGTGGAAGGATTTCTCAGCACAGTAAGCTGCAGCAGTCTTTTCATCCTACTTATAGCTTTGAAATTTGAGAGCTGCTTTTTTTCTCCATTTTAATATAGGAGCAGGAAGGTCTCAGTGCTTCGAAGCACATATCCCAGCAGTGACAAGATGAATACACACACCAGAAAATCCCCCATCAATTCTTGTTTCAAGGGGAAAAATAAAATGTCATTCAACTATTTCTGCCCAGCTAACAACTGGGACTGTCATTTAAAGCCTTTTACCTTAGGAAAAGGAACCTATTGCCAAGTCTGCCACAGCTTTGGGTTTTTTTTAAAAGGCATTGCACCATGAGAACTTGAAGTACATTCATAAATATATTCTTGGCACACTTTAATTGAAAAATATTTTAATATTATTACATAGTTAGTCAAAGCTTAACTATTAGGTACAAGTAACTCAGTAAGTTACAGACACACCCACTCAAGCAACAGTATCAGTGATATTTATTTAAAATACTTTTGCTGAGGAAATTTGTTTCATAAGTGATGGTTTTCAAACAAATCAGCAAGGTTATGAAAAATAAAACAGAGACAAAGTCTCTGGGGAGAAAAAGTTACAAAGAAAGCTTCTGCGTATCAACAAAACCTCAGTCTTTTGATTTGCAGCCTGAGTCTCAGTCCCAACCTTTTCCGTCTAATGAACCCCACTATCCATCTTTAGATCTGGCTTGTTCTTTTCATTCTTCACCGAGTAGATGAAATATGTTAAGGTGTCCTTTTCATTCACTGGAATTGTCCTAAAGTGGCAGCCAATTATCTACAAAGGAAGAATGCAAGGAAATTAAATAACAACTCCTATATGCAGTAACCAAAGTTTCAGACTGAAATTGAGGACATTAAGCTTTAAAAGATTAATCAAGCAGCTTTAAAAAAAGCTACCTCTCTTCAAAAGACTTGAACAGTAATAAAAAAGATAAACAGGAACCATTTTATTGAGAACTATGAACTAAATATAGCAAATTGTATACCCCCCCCCATTTCCAAATTAAGGGGGATGGAACTCTCAAAACAAGCATAGGAGTATCATTACATTGGTGCAGTTTAACTAAAAAACTATAAAGCAACTAATAACTGCAGAATATCAACAAAACGACAGCACAGAAATGGGAGGCTACTGCTCATCACTCAGGCTGGGGGGGACATGAGGGTATGTCTGTACCAAGTCAGAGACAGAAACATCCACAACAATTCAAGAATCTTCAAAATACTATCACTGAAAATTCACTACACTGGAACACTAAAATATGATGATCTCTAAACAGTTTTTGAATCATTTTTTTGTTACTCCATTCCATTCCAGAAGTCTTTCCCTTCACCACAATGAACATCGGCTCTAAAACAAACCATGCAAAATATTATACTTGCCCAAGTCTATTCTCTGGCTTTTTGCAGAATGTTTTGTTAGACTGCAATTAGCAAGCAAGAAACATGGAATTCCTCATTTAACTACCACTATATACTACTAGCTATATAGGTATAAAAGGTTAGTCTAATTAGCAAGTTAGGAAGCTTTTTAAACCCCATCTTCCTAAAAAAAAAAAAAGAAAAAAAAAAGAACATCACAAAGAAGTAGTTTGACAGAGTGACAGAGTCCTTTGAAGTGAACTTTAAGTAACAGCCAGAGGAGTGTCTATCGTATGTAAGGACAGGTTACAAGGAATCACATGTACTGTAAACTACACAAGTTTTGCAACTTATGTTCACAAAGGCCTGCATGTCAGTCAAACCAAGCACATGACAGAAGCAGCTTTGCTGGTGCACACCATGCAGTAAGAATAACCCAATGCAAATATCTAGAGAGATACCTAAAGCAGACACTTTAAAAATGCCAGTTGTGCAGAACAAAAACAGCTTGTGCTTTTTCAAATCACATTACTGCTAACTCAAAAGCTAGCTGTACCTCAACTTGCATATAAGAAAACAGAAGCCTGATTTCACATTCTTATAATGGCAGCAGCTCAGCCTTGAGATCTCCCATACATTTAAGAATCTCGCCTTTAATCCACACAAATTAAGGGACAGACCAACAAAATATCTGCACTGGAGTATAACTGAGTATCTCTGCACATAAGTGAAAAAACAGTAGCTATACCTCCCTTTTAAGAAGATAACCAGCTGTCATGGCTTAAACCAAGACACCAGTTCTCCCACATATTTACATCAGCATGCTGTAACTGCATCTTTATAGCGCAGAATTCCTTAAAAATATACTTTTAAGCTACAAAGATGCTTATGTACAGCTGTACACACACAGCTCCAGCACTTTTAGGAATATTAATAAAAATCCTTAATTTCATAAAGTTCCATTTTTCTGATGGCAGATCCCAGTGATTTTAATCAACAGAATTAATTATCAGTAGAACCCTGTTTTTCTTCAGGTTTACGTACTTTACATATACAGAAGAACATGCTTGCAGTAACTAACTTTCTAAAGCAAACTCTGAACCTTTCTAGAACTTCGCTACCACCCCTCAGTTTCTAGTTCTTTCAGCAGGACACTTCAGGTGAAGGTGTGACTGATGCACAGACTGTAAATGCATGATTCTATGATATTCAGAGACATGCAGACCATCTTACTGCTCTAACTCAACGCCTCATGTTTTTAAGCAGCACATACTCCTATCGGAAGAGTGCCGCCTCTGGAAAGAACTTTTACTTTTGATTTACTTGGCTCAGGAGCTGTGGGCAGTAAAGGAAAGTAGATAAGCAGTTCCCTTTTGTTCTCCTAAAAGCCAGACTACACATGCTCTTTATGCAAGTATCACATTGTATAGAAAACCACATGCTATGGCAAGTTGCATTTTCTATTATGGAGCAAACGCTCATACGTACTTCAACAAGCTGTGCTTTGTTAAGTCCTGGTCTGGTCTGTAGCTTGAAGTGTCTTTTATACCTTCGAAGTGTGTTTACTTGTAACTGATATAAATCAACCTAGAAGAAAAGGAGGGGGAAGGGGAGGAAATCTAATGCAACTGAAAATGATTCAATCATTAATAGTTTGCCTCTCAAAAAAATTTTGGAATCTCACAGACACACAAGTGAAAACAGTCAGCCCAGCAGACCTCATTTTGACAAAAAAAAAAAACCTCCACCCTATACCTTCCAGCAGAAAGGAAAACACCCCAGCTCAGTTTAAGAGCATTTTATCATTACCAAGCATGGCTCTGCCACCCTTTAGCTGTGGACAGTATTCAGAATTCACTGGGTTTTCCATTTGTTCCCCAGTTCAAGCATGACAACACAAGGCCCAGTAAGAGCTTTCGTACAGCATCTATGAAGACACTGCTTCAAAGGAGGGCCCTATATTGTGATTTTTTTTATTTTTTTATTTTTTACACAAGTTCCATGCAAGATATGGCACATCCACACCATAAAAGAGCATGTATTAGAATCAGGAAAAAGTCTAGAGTGCAAAGTTTTTCTTGGCTTGAGGTGAAAGAAGAAAACAGCTGCTCTTGCTCTCCAAACATACTCCTGCTATATAAGCACAATGCAGGAGTTATGTGCATGGGTGTAACTAGCCAAACTGTTTTTCAGCATGAGTGGATAGTTGAGAGAATTGCACAAGGTCCTCTTAGGGATACAAACACACAACCTTAACCCAGTCCTCTGCCTGTTTTGAATCCCATGAACTCTGACCAACAGTCACTTCTCCCAGCAACAGCTTACCTTCCTCCCACCTTCCTTGACAATGGAAGAGAGCTTAACCAGATGACTGAGTGGGAAAGTAAGCTGAGAAAGCAGGCTGAATGAGAAAGTCTGCTAGATCAGTGGCAATTACAATAGCATTCTCCAAACTCACTGCATTAAAGATTGCTTTTGCTTTAAATTCATTTAGCAGTCTCACTACAGAACACTTCAAGAAAAGCAGTGCTACTGCTGGCCAGACTTTATGTGATGCAGCCTTCCATGACAGAGGATGGGTAGGTATCTTTTGGTGTTCTAAAGCCTCCATGGCACAAATTCCACTTCCCAAGTCACAGTGCTGAATCCACACCCCAGAGCATCACACAGAGGAGTATTGGCAGCTTTCCATCAAGTCACAGAAGGTACCAGTACTGCAGAAGCCTCTTCGCCTCCTGTAGGAGCCACTTCTAACAGGTAATGATGGTCACAACCAAGATGGAAACAAGAACGCTTTACAAGTCTTCAGAAGAACGATATTTTTACTTTTTCCTTAGTAGACTGGATAGCAATTGAAAATAAAGAAGATGGAGGGCCAGTGGGCACCTAATGCATGCAGTAATAATGTGGGATGAACATACTGCCCTTATCCAAATGGCCAGCTGAAACTCCTCAAAAATACTTCCCAGGCAGTTTTATTTCGCTCAGTAGTGCCATTAATAGAAAAAGCTTGCTTTCTTGTCCTAGAGATATCTATCAGTTGTGACATGTTTAATAATTCTTTCATGAGAAAAGAAAACAGGCTTGCAAGAGAGCTGCGATTACCACTGTGCCAGAGAGCTACCTGAAGTCACACACAGCATTAGCTTCAGACAACTCTCAAAGATGCAGTCCCAGATATTTAACAGACAAACAACACAGCCCAACACCAAACTACTCCCAATCCCCTAAAATCCTCTTAGCTAGAGCCTTCGGACTGGAGCCACGTGCTTTTAGACACAGATTCCTGTACAAAGTTTCACCCCTTATGATGCTGCTAACTACAGATACTGACCATAAGGATTCCATTAAATTAACACTTACGGAGCAATGTTTGAATGCTTTAAAAATCCCTCTCAGAAAGGAACAGGTAGGCATGACAGCCTCTGCTCAGAATTACCACACTGAAGAGCACCTGCTAAACCAGGCTGTAGCAGAAATAATCCAGAGCACATGGAGAGGGGAAAAAAAAAGGGAGCCTTTAGCGCAGTCTCTCCTACTGTTCTCTGAGAAAGGTTTAAAACTTTTTTTAACGGGGTGAAGTTTCACTGGTCTGCAGCAGAGAAATCAGGTGGGAAAAACACCACCTTCTTGTATAGCACAACTCCCTGAATGTCTCTTCCCCCAACAACAGGGTCAAAACACAGACTACCATTGCTAAACTGTGTGTAAGGTGACTAAGGCAACAGAATAACTGCAAGAGCCATCTCCAACACACTGAGCACAGAGTAAAGGATCAGAGGGATGGGGCACAGACAATATCCCAAGCCCCATGTGCAACTCCCTTCAAATTGTCAACTCCTGCGAAGACAGTTTGCTGTTATGTGGCAAAGCACCACTCTGGAGAGCACCAAGAAGCAAGCTGGAAACAGCTGTTTTGTGAGAGAGGGAGCAGACACTTAAAAATCACAGACAGACTCTTGTTCATTCTACTATGCACAATTAATACAGAAAATATACTGTAAGATTCTGTTCTATTAAGAGTGAATCAAGAATCTTTCCCACATGCTCCAAAATAGCTGTAAGAAAGTGGTGTCTGTGTGGACTTGGTAGTCATTAACAACAAGCTTAACAGGACAGTTAGGAAAAAATAAACACCAAACCAAACAACTACTTAGCTACCTCTGGAGTGTCGATGTCTTGCACGGGTGAGTCACCATCATCATCGCTGCCTTTCCTCTTTCTTCTATTTCTCACACTCTGAATTAAGTTTTTGTGGAAGTCACAAATATACAGATGTCTTGCCTGGAAGAGTAATTCGGCGTCTTTCAGTCAAACTCACGTCAGAATCTCCCACTGACAATATAAACGTACATACAGAGACAACCCTTCAGCAACCGCAGCCACATTAACTGCGTTGAGAAAGGTTTTCTACCGGGTTCTGCTCAACAATGTGCTGTGCTGCAGCTCGCTGCCACCGGCTTGGCCAGGGGAAGCCGAGTCCTGCAATCTACGGGTTCAGCAGTAACAGGCTGCAGACACATACGCGTACCACACTCCCTCCAGCCATGCACCCCAACTCGGGGATCGGGAAGCAAACACAAAACAAGCTTTCAGGTGTTCTTTGGAGGGCAAAATGCCGGCTCCCATTTCCCATCTATAGCCTCCCACCTCTTGTTTCACTTCCACTACCTAGGGCAGGTCAAGCAACACACTTCTTTGGGTATTTTTCCCTTTTATCAGTTTCCGTCTGTGGGGGTCTGCACACTCTGGAGAGCTCTTCAGCAGGTACCAACACCGAATTTCACGGCAAAGAAAGTACGGACCCCGCTTAGGGATCGCGCCTGCGGAGCGAGGAACTCCCGGCCCGGGGTGGGGCAGCTGCGGGGGTTCGGCTGGCCGACGCGCGGAGTACTCACGTCCGCTACCGCGCATTTTAAGCAACCTTGCCCCCGCGCCGGAAAAAAAACCTGTGGTACGGGGCCAGAGAAGCACACCCCCGAAACGGGGCTGTCCCCGCTCCCGTGCCTTGCCGTGCCGAGCCGCGCTGCGCCTGATGGCTGCCGAGCGGAAGATACAGTGGCAAAGGGAGACGTGCAACATTGCAACACGAGGCGGAGCAGCCGAGCGCTGCGCTCGCCAGAAACAGACACAAACTAGCGCGGCGGGAGCCATGCGGGCTCCACTCTGGGGAGGCGGGGCGCTGCCCAGCCACGCTGCTTCCCGCTCCAGCTGCGCGGGGGAAGCGCAGCCCGTGCCCCCCGCTCCTGGGAGCTGGAAGGAGACCCCAGGAGCACGCAGGAGGGGCCAGGGCTTTCCCCCTGCTCCTCCTGCCGAGGAAGAGCACTTTCAGGCCGCGCTTCTGCAGCGCTAGCCAAACTCCACCGTGCTACGGAAAAAGGGGCGAAAGCGGAAACAACGCTTCCCTGCCACCAAAAACCAAAACAAAACCAAACCTAAACTTTATTAAAAGCCCCCAAACCAACTGAGGCATGGGAGTACCCGGCCGGAGGGAGCGGGGACTGGGGTCGGACCCGCCGCCGCTGCCCAAGCACGCACCGCCGAGACTCACTGGCCGCTTTTGTCCGCCTGCCCCGCCGCAGCCCCGGCCCCTGTGCGTGGCATCCTCCCCTGCCCGGACTTACGCTCTTGTCCAGCTCGATCTTCACCTTCTTCTGCGAGATGCTCTTCTGGATCCGCTTGCTGAAGCTGGCGTTGCCGGCGGCGCGGCCGCACCGCTCCCCCTCCTCCCGCAGGCAGCACAGCTGCCCTGCCCCGGGGCCGCCCGCACCCCCGGCGCCCACCAAGCCTGCGGCGGCTGCTACGGCCGGACCCAGCCCCGGCGGCGCTGGCGGCGGCGGCACCTCAACGGCGGAACCCGCACTGCCCACCACCGCGGCGGCGGCTGCGGCAGGGTCCGCCCCGCGCTGGGTCACCTCCTCGGGGGGGAAGCCGTTCATGCCTGGCGCCACCGCCGCTGCGGCGGGAAGCCGAAGGGAAAGAGGCAGGATCCCGCCCCGCGCCGAACTTCCCCGGTGAGACGCCGCGGCCCGGGGAAGCGCTCTCCCGCTCTCTACCCGCTCGCCCGCCTCCTCTCAGCGGCGGCACCGGGTTGCAAACCCGCCCCCGAGGGCGGCCAGCCCGCACGTCGCGGGAAGGGCTATCCCCGTCTGCTGCGCTGCCCGAACCCCGCAGCTACCGGAGCGGCAGCGGCGCCCCGCGGGTCACCCCACTTCCTCCTTCCCCCTCTGTCATGTGGAGACTCTTCAGCTGTTTCCTATGTAACAACAGCAACCTGCCCGCCGCTCCGCCCCGCCCCGCCCGCCGCGCATGCCGGCTCCCCGCCGCGGGGCGCCACGGGAAATGCAGTCCTGCCCCACCGACCCCTCCGCGTTCGCCGCGGTGGGAGAACTACCGCTCCCGAGCTGCTGCGCGACGCCGGCGGGAGCGCGGGCGGGCGGACGGGAGGGAGTGCAGGGGGCGCGCCGCGCAGTGCTGGGGTCTCGCCGTGCCGCTTTGCGGTGCTCAGGCTGGCGGGGCAGTCCCGCCCCGGTGGCAGCTGGTTGCTCTTCTCCGTCCTGCCCCGCGCTGCGCACCCTGTGCCCCGCCGTGCGGAGGGGTGGCAGCTGCTCAGCCCACTTTTTAAAAGGCCCCGTTCATTCTCTTCCCCTTATTCCCCCCCTTGTCGCTCCTCCCTAGCGGCGCGGCCGTTGGGATTTGAAAGGCAGCCATGCGGAGAGCTCATCCCGGCCGGAGGCGGGAAAGGCGCCGGGCGGAAGGCAGAGGCCGGGCAGGAACCGGCGCTGTCGTCCGCACCGCCGAGCGCGTAAACGTGCCTCCGCCAAGGGCGCATCGGGCGGCCGCGCTTCCCCTTGCCCGGACTCTGGCGGTGCTCCTCGCTGCCTCCTTCGGCGCTAACTCCAGCTCCGTTGTTTTCCGCCACCCGGGCCACTTGTCCAGGGTTTTCTACGAGTTGGGGTTTAATTCCTTGTCGTCCCTTCTTGCCTCGCCGCCTCCTTTCTTTTACACTTTTTCAACCGTTGCCGGGTTGCCCCGGGTGCCGCCGCGCCGATCCCGGTGTCACGGGCAGCTCCCTGGGAGCGGGGTCGCAGCCCCCGATTGCCGCTCTGAGTCGAGAGCAGCCTGAGCTCCGGCCTTTGTTAAATCTGTTTTTAAACCACATGCAAGGGGTCCGCCTGGCGTTCCTTTGGTAAAGATCTCTGAAAACAAAGAGGACTTGCGAGTTCACACTTTTGTCATTTAAAAGAGCTTTTTGTTAATAAAGGTGACTTTTAACAACAGAAAAGACCATGAATGCAGAATCGTTTTCGCTACGAGTGAACCAAGACCTTGCTGTGCACACGGCTAGCTAAAACAGTGTGAAAACACTTGATAAAAGCAACTATTTTCTGTTTTGAGAGTACAAAAACTACGAGCGAGATGCATTGGCATTAAGCCATGTAACGATTCAGCTGTCGACAGCAGAGCGGCAGAAGCAGCAAGCTGACCTTCTCTCTTTCTTCCAGCGCCTTCAAAGCAGACGCAGTAAAGGGTGAGGTTTTGCTTTCCTTTTGAACGGCCGCAAATACTCCCTTAAATCTCAGAAGCGGCATCCGAGCTGACCGTACTCGAAGCGTAATGATTTAATCACTGAAATATTTGACCGTATCGCTTGGCCTGCGTTTCCAGCTTGCAGGAGGAGGAGAGGAGTAGTGGGGAGGGCGGTGAGTGATTCGAGGAGACACAGATCCTGCGTAAGCCAAAGTTCTGCGTGAGCCGGGAACGCGATTATAGCGCAGTTTTGGTTTGTGCTGCAGATGGCTCCTTAATCTGATTGCATAACCTGGTATTAGAGAACAAGGGTAGGTCCCGCTTCACTCACCCACCGTTGCAGCTGAAGGAAGGATACAGTAACTGAAGCTAAACTCAGCATAAAGTCACTGGCAGCAGTTCCCTAGAAGTCACGTTTCAGGCATTAGAGAAAGGAATTGTGTAAGAGGTGGGAAAAATACCGAATCCCGGTTTGTTTGATTGAAGACCATGTGGAGTGCCTGGGTTTAATTTCACGCTCTGCTGCTGTGCAGTCTTAAGCATCAGAAGTTTAACTCACTTTGTGTTTCTTGTGATTTCACACTTTCAAAAATATAATAATGTTAAAAAAAAACCAAACCAAACCCAAACCCAACAACAAATCAGTAACAATGATAGTGGGCCTTAAAGAAAAACATAGGAAGCACAAGCTGGGAAAAGTGGGACAAGGGTGAGTTCCAGGAATTCTTTAGTGGAAATCTGGATTCTGAATAGCAATTTCTAGATTCTTAGGCTATGTCTGTAGAGGTCCCTTTCATTTCTTCAGACATATTTGACCTTACTGCAAGCATAAAACATGTCAGCCTGGGTCTGGCTGCTGTGATTTGCTGCAATGGAAAGATCACTTGTGCATTTTAAATGTTTCTGATCCTCTTTGTACAGTTTGTGAGCAGTTAAAAGCCTGATTATGTTACCCAGCCATGCTTGCCAGTATGCTAATTTTTAAGTGGAATTTCAAGTAGAGGAGTATCATAGTTTCGTGATTAGATCACAATACCACAGTTGTGGGGCTGAGAATGATGGTTCTGCTTCTGCCATAAACTGCGCATTTTCACACCTGTGCCCTGTCCTTCTTTGTGCCTGCAAAAGCATTTCTGACAAACAGGATTGTGTTACAACTAGACCAGTGACAATAAAATCAGAGAAGTTTAACCCTGCTTTACCGCTCAGTCACATAATGTCCCAGGACACAGGAAGGTCCAGTGGAAGGGCAGGATCGTGTGATCCATTCAGGGGAATGATTGCCTCATTTGGTATGAACCCCTGCTTACAGTGACAAAGAAATCATGCCACTTTTAGTCTTGCGTCATATGTGGGATCAAAAAATACAAAGAGCTGCAGACAGAAAATACAAAGAGCTGCAGCTAAATGAGCTTAACAGGCAGTATCAAGCTTAATATAGGATGGATGTGCAAACTTTCATGAAGCTTGGGCCTCATGAGATAAAAAAATCAGTTGTCGCAGAGTTTGTCATTAAAATTATTATTTTATAACATAAGCTCTAGTAGTGATTGGTAGAATTATTCAGGTATAACTAAAACACATCTAGGGAGAGATTTTAAATAAACATAAAACCATGCAGCATTGCAACAATATACTGATTAGAGTAAAACATTAAATATTAAACCAGTTCAAAGGCAGCTACAAACCAGCAACTCTGCATGAGATACCAGTAGCACTTACAAGCCGTGCACACAAGCAGAATCATACGGAAGGCAACAGTTATCTACATCCCTCATAGGTGCCAAAACCACAGCATGTACTACTAGTAAGTGGTATGCAGTAGGAGCAGGAGCTACAGCATCCCCAAAAGTGTGCCTGAATCCACAGCTCCCACGCTCTGAAGCTGGCAGGACTCGGTGGCCCCTCCTGGCACTGAGGTGGGCCAGGCACAGGTGGAGCTGGGCAGCTTGTGCCACTCTGGGATGCCATATGTCTCAGCTCTTGTTGGCTCTTGACTGATGTGTTTTGTAATTTGAGAGAGAAGAATGACACCAAACACATCACCTAGGATATATTGCAGGCGTGCTGCAAACATATTATTAGTAATTAATCATGGAATGCAAATGTGGCTTCTAACTGTGTACATCTTCACATGATAAGGTTCAACTGGGGACGACTCTTCCACAGCACACATTGGTGCACTTGTGCGCAGCACCTGAAATTATCTTGTTAGCAAATAAAATAATAAGGAAAACTATTGGTGTACATTTTTCCACAGCAAATATACATTTTCTTTGTTTTGGATTGTAACTTGGATTGATTTGGATTTTTCAAAAGAAAAATAGATTACTTTAAAGTACTTTTAAAATTCCACAAATTCTACCACATGCCCTGGTGGTTTTGATAAAAGAACAACCTACTTGATAGGCATTCATGGGCTGTGATAAAGAACAGTGACTAAACCTCTCCTCCCTTATCAGAAACAAGTCCTATTCTTTTTATTGGTCTCTCTTTTTTTCTGATTTTTGAATTTCTGATTTTCCCTTCCCAGTCCTGCACCAACTAACTGCTACTGCCTCCAACTAACCAACTGCCTCTAACCAAGTAACTGTGCTACTGCCTCCTACTGTTGCACTGCCTCCAATTAATTATCCAAATCTGTTCAAGCGTAGAGTCCAAAGAACAGGAATATTGGGACTTATTTACAGACTGTATATTTTTTCACTTCTTTATATGTTTTACACTAGGATAGTTAAAATGTAACTTCAGATAGTTAATTGTATAATAAACCAATCTGCTTTAGCACACATAGAGGTTATTGTAATACAGTAAGAGAAAAAAAAATCATGCCTTTAACCAAAATAGTGATATTGGTGCCAAACTAGTATTTCCAGGTTTTTTGAGTAAATCCACCTGAAGCCAATGTTCCTTTTCTAAGCATTCTGCCTTATACAGTGGAAACTAAGGGCGTATGAAAGAGTTTAGGTAACACAGGCTCTTATTGAAAGATTTAAAGCAGTAAACAGGGTCCAGAACTAAACACTGTATTTTAAGAATAATCTAGGTGTTACAGGATTAAAACCGATGAGCCTGCATACTGTAAAAGCTTTAAAGCTTTGTAATACATGCCCCTTAACAATTTGTGCCAGTTCACTTTCACAATAAGCCATTAGTTACAGGAGGCATCAAAGGGCCTTCTGTTAGAAGGCTTCGTTCTTACGTGCAGAAATAACAGAAACTTTAGATGTTCTTTGTTGACAAATGGTTGGTGGGGGAATTAAGTATGAGATAAGGGAGATACCTTAGATACAACAACTGCCCGGAAGCAGAGAAGCCAACCTCCAGCTTTGCACTGCACTGGGGTACTCCCAAAGTTTCAACACCCATCTTCTAACTCCATCTTCTCCTCCTCCTCCCAAGCTCAGCTTCCGCCAAGTTAAAAGTGTACATCCATCTGCTTTTTTCAGAGGCACTGATGACTTGTCCATCCAGAATTAATTTTAGAATTAAACTTGGCTAGGGATGTTAAGGATAACAGGAAGGGATTCTGTAGGTACGTAGCGAATGAAAAACAGACTAGGGACAATGTAGGCCCCCTCCGGAACCTATTGGGAGACCTGGCTACACAGGATTTGGAGAAGGCTGAGGTTCTGAATGAATTCTTTGCCTCAGTCTTCACTGGAAAAGGCTCTGACCGCACCACCCAAGTCTTGGAAGGTGGACGCAGGGACTGTGAGAATGAAGACCTTGGGCCCACTGTAGGAGAAGATCTGGTTCGAGACCATCTTAAAAACCTGAACGTGCACAAGTCCATGGGTCCTGATGAAATCCATCTGGCATTTGGAGCTGGCAAATGAAGTTGCTAAGCCACTGTCCATCATATTTGAAAAATCATGGCAGTCAGGTGAAGTTCCCGATGACTGGAAAAAGGGAAATATAACCCCCATTTTCAAGAAGGGGAAAATGGATGACCCGGGGAATTACAGACCAGTCAGTCTCACCTCTGTGCCTGGCAAAATCTTGGAGCAGATTCTCCTGGAAGACATGCTAAGGCACATGAAAAACAACAAGGTGCTTGGTGACAGCCAGCATGGCTTCACTAAGGGGAAATCCTGCCTGACCAATTTGGTGGCCTTCTATGATGGGGCTACAGAACTGATGGACAGGGGTAGAGCAGTTGATGTCATCTACCTGGACTTGTGCAAAGCGTTTGACACTGTCCCACACGACATCCTTGTCTCTAAATTGGAGAGACATCAATTTGATGGATGGACCACTCGGTGGATAAAGAACTGGCTGGATGGCCGCACACAAAGAGTTGTGGTCAATGGCTCAATGTCCAGCTGGAGACCAGTAACAAGTGGCGTCCCTCAGGGATCGGTGTTGGGACCGGTCTTGTTCAACATCTTTGTTGGTGACATGGACAGTGGGATTGAGTGCGCCCTCAGCAAGTTTGCTGATGACACCAAGCTGTGTGGTTCAGTTGATACCCTGGAGGGAAGGAATGCCATCCAGAGGGACCTTGACATGCTTGTGAGGTGGGCTCATGAAGTTTAACCATGCCAAGTACAAGGTCCTACACCTGGGTCAGAGCAATCCCAGGCACAGCTACAGGTTGGGCAGAGAAGAGATTCAGAGCAGCCCTGTGGAGAAGGACTTGGGGGTGTTGGTTGATGAGAAAATGAACATGAATGGCTTCAGTGTGTGCTGGCAGCCCAGAAAGCCGACTGTATCCTGGGCTGCATCAAAAGGAGCGTGACCAGCAGGTTGAAGGAGGTGATCCTGCCCCTCTACTCTGATCTCGTGAGACCTCACCTGGAGTATTGTATGTAGCTTTGGTGTCCTCAGCATAAAAAGGACATGGAACTGTTGGAACAAGTTCAGAGAAGGGCCACGAGAATGATCAGGGGACTGGAGCACCTCCTGTATGAAGATAGGCTGAGGAAGCTGGGGCTGTTGAGCCTGGAGAAGAGAAGGCTGCGTGGAGACCTCATAGCAGCCTTCCAGTATCTGAAGGGGGCCTATAGGGATGCTGGGGAGGGACTCTTCATTAGGGACTGTAGTGACAGGACAAGTGGTAATGGGTTCAAACTGGAACAGGGGAAGTTTAGATTGGATATAAGGAGGAAGTTGTTTACTGTGAGGGTGGCGAGGCACTGGAATGGGTTGCCCAGGGAGGTTGTGAATGCTCCATCCCTGGCGGTGTTCAAGGCCAGGTTGGATGAAGCCTTGGGTGACATGGTTTAGTGTGAGGTGTCCCTGCCCATGGCAGGGAGGTTGGAACTAGATGATCTTAAGGTCCTTTCCAACCCTAACTGTTCTGTGATTCTATTTAGATTGCTTTGATTAACATTTTGTTTCACAGTGCATGAGATCTCACAGCCAGAAAGAGACCAAACAAAATCATTGTTAGTGCTTTTCTAAAATGTAATGCAACTGTCTGGAATGTATAGTGGAAAAGTATCATAGAATCATAGAATAGTTTGGTCTCAAAGGGCCCTTCAAAGCTCATCTAGTCCAATGCCCCTGCAATGAGCAGAGACATCTTCAACTAGACCAGGTTGCCCAGAAGCACATCAGCCTGGCCTCGAATGTTTGCAGGGTTGGCACATCCACCATCTCTCTGGGCAACCTGTTCCAGTATTCCACCACCCTCATTGTAAACATTTCTTCCCCACATCTAGCTTGAATCTCTCCTCTTTTAATTTAAAGCCATTAGCCCTCGCTTTATCACAATAGGCTCTGCTGAAAGGTCTTTCCCCATCTTTCTTTTAGGCCCTTTTAAGAACTGAAAGGCCACAACAAGTTCTCTCTGAAGTTTTCTCCAGGCTGGACGACCCCAACTCTCTCAGCCTTTCCTCATAGGAGAGATCCTCCAGCCTTCTGACTATTTTTGTGGCCATCTCCAACAGGTCCATCTTTCCTGTACTGAGGACTCCATAGCTGAAATCCTCAGCTGTATCACCTCTGGAGATTTTGAGCAATAATGCAATAAAAAATTGGCTATGAGTAATAGACTGATATAGTATATTGCTTAAGAGATATTTCTTAATCCACTGAATATAAATAAAAAGCTTGCTCAGCTTTTTTTGTTTTGTTTTTTTTTTGTTAGCTGTAATACAGACTGTCATATCTTCTCAGCAAATTTTGCAGGTCTCTAATGCATTGCTGATACCACAGAAAGCACTGAATACTCTTTGCTGAAGTCTTGTGAACCACAGTTTTCTCCTTATAGAAACTCAAGATTTGACACTGTCTTTAATCACTTGCTTTTTGAGTTGAATAAAGCATATCACATGATCTTCGCCGTTTTGTCAGTCTAGAAACTGCGGTGGTGCTTTACACCATCATGTTTTCTTCTGATCTGGATTCATTCTTCAGAAAGGGAAATGGGAAATGTCTGTAGCCCTGATGCTTCTTCCAGTGCCCTTGTCTTTGGAGTGCAGTATCTCGCAGTTTGACTCAGCTCTTGTTGATGTTTACAGCAGGTTTTAAGTGCCCCTTGGGAACACGCTTCCTCCACCTGAGTCCAGAATGCATCACTTAGAAGGTCTCTAGAAGGCATTTGGTTTCATCAGTAAAAACAAAAGAGAGTCCAATACGAATACAGATATTTTTATAAAAATAAAATGAGTAAAATTACATATGGGTTTGGGGTTTAAATGTTTTCCTGACTTCCTGCAGAGCTCATTCTATGCAAAAGATATAGGCTTGTACTCCAACAAATTGAAATATCATCATAGTTTTGAACTGCAGTTGGCTTTTGATGATGTTACTTGACAGTAAACCCTTAACTGAGAAATGCTATGGGAAAAGGATCAGATAAAATGTTCTCCGGTCTCAGCTTTCATATTAACAAAACTTTCAGCCTTTATGGCGGCAAAGGTAAATTTGAAATCCGGTTAAGGATATACCTAAAGGATAGAACACAAAAAAAAGACTCCCACCCTCCAGCTTCAACATTCTGGTTTTTAAACAGATACGGTTTTAGAATTTTTCTTTTTAATCCACGAGTTTGCTTGTTAATCTTTATTAACATTATTAACACCATAGATGTGACCCAATTCTGCTATTAAAGCTATCCACAGGCACTAAAAGATCCTTACCTCTCTCCAGAAGTGACTGCTGGAGCACAATTTTACATGATCCTGTAAATTATGTCATAATTGGGAAAATAATAATGTAGATCTTTTACCTCTTAAACAGCTTTAACTTCTTTGTTCTGTGGTTATCTCTTTGTAGTTATGTTATGAAAGGCTGTCCCAAAATGAATCATATCTTTACAAAGTAAATTTTTAACTACTGGAAAAGGAGAATGAAGATTTTATGCTTTTAATATTTATGCACGTGACAATAATTTAACAACATATAAATGCTAATTATTAATATAAATGTAATGACAAAAATTGCACAACATGATCAAGCCTACAAACTGGAGTATACTTATCAAGATGGCTTCTCAAGGGTTTACATTGAAGTCAAGAGTTTACAGGTTTTAAGGATTCTTGTTTTCAACTTTAAAAAAATGGAAAATACATTGTTTGGGCTGCAATTTAGCTTTTTGGTAACTTTGAATAAGCTGCCCTTTCTTTGACACGAACAACTTGACATTTCTTTGTTTATTTCTTCCAATGCACAATTGTGCTGCTTCCTATTTCTTTTTCATTTGTAGTATGTGTTTATCCCTGCCAGTACTTGGGGAGAGCTTCTTCTTGACTTCACACACGATCAGACTAAATGATGAGAGTTAATCATGGGCCCAAGGGTTTACTATCAGACTTCCTTAAGATTTATTCCCACCTCCCAGCAGTTGGGGCCATGAAGTAGAAGCATTAGCTTTGACTGGTATTACAGGCAAACACAATTTCTAGTAGCGCAAGATCTCTGAAATAACCTTCCTTATTACTGTAAAACATTTCATAGTATGGAGTAGGGTATACAATTCAATGTTCTAGAGAAACTATATTTTTATATCATTAGTTGCTGGAAAATCCCGCAGGGTCTATGACAATCAACAATTTCAAAATTTCCTGTGTATTTTCTTACTAGTCTCAGATTACCTGTGTATCCTATGATCATTCCTCTGACACGTATGACAGCACTATTTGCCAGAATAAATTACTCTACCAAGACAGTGTCTACATTAGCAACAGCAAGGATGCACTCCACATGACTAAAACTTGAGACCCATTTAAGTTTAATGAGACTCATTGAAATTCATTTAAGCTTTCTACCACCTGGATGCAAGGCTAACGTGCTAATGAGTATCACAGTGCTCAGGAGGAACACAGCTGTTACCAGTCAAACCTGCTCTCTCTTCTGGCTCTGCAAGATAGGAGGGCACTACTCCTCCTTCCTCTTGCAGCTTGTGGCACGCATCCTTGTCAACTCACGCTATCATTTCTCTTTCCTAAGAAATTTTAGACCTACAATTACATAGGGAACATCTTCTGCCACCAGATTCTGCTTGGTTTTTAGGTTTCTAGCCCTCACAGCCACAGAAGAAAGCAGTCCCTCAGATTGGACAGGGTACAAACAAAACATTCTGGTTTGCTCTGTAGAAGTTGCAGCATTTGTAAGTCACCATGGGTTATGAAGTACTTAATTCTGGCAGCATGAGCACCAGTGGCTAGCCCCACATGGGTGCCTGGACTATTCAGGAGGTGGACTGGGACTGCATTTTCTTCAGACCTGCTTGCTGGATTTCACACCTCCAGGGCCAGACACAGTCCAACCCTTTGTCTTACTGCTTAGGAGAGAAAAAGCCCCGCATCCTAGAACTGTGTTCTCCAATTCCCAAACAATGCAACATTAGTAATTATATTTTATTTTTTAAGAGTAAGTCATGTAAAGTACCAGTGCTTACCAAGGCTGTAAGGGGCTGGGGGGTGGTAACAGAGGTGTAAAAAACTTCCCCCCCCCCCCCCCCATTTAATCTGATTTCAGAGTGTAAATTACAGCTATCAGCATTTTAAAGTTCCTCTACATTGCCTGTGAAACTGTCTAACGGATGAACAAAGGCAAATTACTGCTTTCTTCTCACACCCATAAAAAGGGATTAAGAGTATAGCAAAATATAAAGGAGTTCTATTAAGATCTTGGGGCAAAAATGTTACATGAGTATTACTTTGAATGTAAAGAAGAAAGTAAGTGAAAATTAAGTCTAGGAATACAAAAGTAAAAAATATATACATGTGTGTGTGTGTATATATATATATATATATATAAGCTTGTAAACCCAATGCAAGAAAAGTTCTTGTGAAATTAAGACTGAAAAAGTTCAGTTAACAATTACTATGACTAGGAACAGCCGGTGCTCCTAGTATTATCTGCATTAGTACCAGGAGAGATTTGTTGTACTTATTTCCTATCGTGTAACCACTGCAGTTTCAGTCTCCACTCCACAGCTGTCCCGGGTAGCATCTAATGTAGGACACCTTTGTTTCAAGTATTTGGTACACAGCAGAAAGTCAAAACAAGTTCCTGAGCTTTCAGACTAAACCAGCCTGCCACTTGCCTATGAGCTGCTTAACTGGTTATGCAGGCTTTACAAGAGCCTGCATAATAAAACTATAATGTTTAAAGGGTAAATATATTTACAATTTTTACAAAATACTTATTATTTGCATGCTACAGCAAAAATGGGAAAAGTTCTATTATCTTAATGCAATTCTTTAAGACATTGACAGAAATACCAGTTTTGCAAACTTTTGGCAGCTGCAGTTATATATGTTTTTATCAAAGTACAAAGAAAAGAAATGCTTATAACTGGAACACTAAAGTAACATAGGTTTCGTGTTGAACTTGGGTAACCAGTAGCCTAGGTAGATCTGGTTTTTCAGCAGCTTTTCATCCTAAAGCTCCTACCATATATCTATTATGAGATGCTCACATAAAATAGGTCAAAAACATAGTTGCTGCCTGTAGACTTTGAAACTTATATTAAAAAGTGGGGGGTATTTTTGTGGGTATTTTTTTTTCTTTCTTCTAAGTAGTGACCTATTTAAATGCTTTTTGCATATGGATTTTAATCTTTTCCTGTATCAAAAAATTGCTGATCAAAGCTAAATTTGTTCTTTCTTTCATCATTTTACATTAGTGAAGCTAGGTGACATTGAAAGCAGCTGTTAACTCTTTTTCATTAATCATCTGTCAAACACTGACTTTTCAGGTTCATAAGAGACACCCTTTCAGCAGTAATCAATCCAGATTGATCACTTTCCAATGCAGAATTTTACTGCCATTCAGGCTACATTAAAAAATATTCCATACAGAAGCTTGGGTAACAGCAGAGTCTCTGGGTAAAGACAGTAGAGCTTCTTCATCCAACCAACTGAATTAGAACTGACAGTGTCACCATATACTACGCTTACACCGGAATGGAAGTTTGGTCAGGGTTGAGGTCCTGGAACTGTAGTTTGCGATTTCCTCAGCTGAACGGTAACTGTTGCAATGGATTTGCTGATGGAAACGTTAATTCAAATAGAATTTTCTTCCCCTGCTTTGTCCACCCTGACAGCAGTACCCAGAGAAGCTGCACACGGTAGCCAGGAGATACAGTAGGATGTGAAGTTTTATCACTCCAATCACACATTTTTGTTGTCCATGACATACTTTTCTTTAAATCTATTAATCAGCTCTGTAACCTGGTCTCATCCACCTCGTCTTTTCCTTTTACCCACTGTTTCTAGTCACTACATCACTTATCTCTCCTCATATGCAGTTTACTGAAGATTAAGTGAAGTTTACAATAGTGCCCAAAATTGTAATCGTGGAGCAGATTAGAAACTCCAAAGGGCTCAAAGCCAGGGAGCTATTTCATGAATTGAATTATTCAAGCAGAAGCAAGCTTCAAATCCTGGAGTCTACAGTTGCCTTTCCCACAACTGTCATCCACATGCGGTTAATAAATTAACCACACAGACTGACTTAAGTCAATACTGCACAGACCACTGCTTTGGAGGAGTAAGAGTGACTGAATCTCTCGAGACAGAATTTGCGGTTTTGTCTGAAAGGGAACAGTGCGGTGTAATGAAAAAAAAAAACAGTGACAGCTTATTGTGGAACCAGGCGCACAGAGAAGTGCTTTCCAGGTGTGAGGGTGCTGGGAAGAAGGCTTTGGGACTGACACGTTTCTAACATTGGCATTCTTGCGCGCAGCTTTCAGCATAGGCGCTGCTGTGGAAACCTTCCAGTATCATGTTCAAGCGTGAAAAATTTTCAATACTGCCTTCCTTGTTGGAGGACAGACAGATGTTAGAGTACAACTGCTTGGTTTGTTACGCTGCCCTGTGTTGCATGACATTGCATGACATAACCCTCTATGTATATATGTAATTGTACAAAAGCTTTCTTTTTCAGCGAAGAGAATCTAGAACAAGAATATCTTTAAAAGAACAAAGAACCCCATTTCTTTCTTAAAAGATCCGATTAAATCATTTGAAAGTCAAGTCGCCCCTTTTTTTTTTTTTCCCATAGCAGTAATTAGATTTTCTCACCCTACCTGCTTTTCCAGAATTATTTCCTTCATATTCTTGGAGCAGATATGAAAACAGATGCAACAGGGGAAGCTGTACTCCAATTATATCCCATAATTTCAAAAGACTGTTTCAAAGTAATTTTTTCCCCTTGTTATATTAATGTGAAAAGGAAGAGTAAAATATGTTAATAAACTTAACACAAAGCTTTTCCTTTTTTTTTTTTTTTTTGCTCAAGAACTGACAGAGAATGGATTTGGAATGATAAAATGAGAAAAATTCTTCTCTCCTTTCAACTGTTAAAAATAATTCCCAGTGTGTGTGTGTAACCATCCTGATAACCTGTCAGTGATAAAACCCTCCCATTGGTCAAAACTTGCTATTTTAGAAACACAGACACTGAGAAAACTTTGTTTCCTGAAAAACAGCAGCCCACTTCATTATTTTTCCAGCTGCATCAGTGAGGATTCAGAAGTAAAACTGATTTTGATGGAATTAACCTACGCCTTTAAATAGCTGTAAACAATGCAGATGGTACCCATGAACTTGTTTGAATGGCACGGTATGGAGAGCTACAGGTAAATCTGGTGGACAAAGAATAGTTTTACACCAGAGATAGTAAGAGCTATTCCATACACACTAGAATTGCAAGATTCTACCATCTGTTACAAAACTGCTTTATAACTAAAAAACACTCTGCAAGAAACTGTCATCTACAGGTGGTTTACCACAAAGTGAATGAGTAACCCATCTGGCAGCTTAATTCACCAAACAAAATAGTGCTTGCCAAGTAACGTATGAAGTAAAGGCACTTTAAAGCTACATAGCAATTAAAATAACTCCTTCACAGAATTCAGTGCCACAGAACTGAGAATATGAATTTGCTATTGAGCAGCACTGGAATGGTTTACAGTAATAAAAAAGCCAAAACTGGAACACAGAATATCCTCTGTAAATGTTTATTTTAGAAGATAAGTGTAAGCTCTGTTTGTACATTAAACACCATCAAAAGGAATAGCCACAGAAGGCAGCCAATACAAGAATTTGGATAACTGGCTTCTGACAGGCTTTAACATCTGCAAAGCGACTACATCTCTATGTATTGCTCTGACAATTTACCTCCCAGTTATGCACTCTTTGTAGCAGATTCTAACTTTTTCCTAGTTATATTATGTCTATTAAGGCTGCAGTTTGGGCAAGTACATAAAGCTTAAAATGAAACAGGGATCAAGGAGTCATTTACTACATTAGTGAACTACTCTATGTGAGCACATCAACACAGAAGAAAAAAAAAAGGCAAAACACAAACAGCTTGAAGGACTGAACCCGATAAGTGCTTCTTATTCAGTGTTGCTTACAGTGAGCAAATCTCGAACTGGGGGGAGTCAACAGATCAAGATACTGACTGCTCTCACACCTGCAGTTACTCAACACACTCAGATATCTTAGGGATTCTTTATGCTTTCTGGGTTTTGCTTCATTTTTTTTTACCATTGAGCTAGGTTAATGTGATTAAAACTCAACTGAAGTCATGGTGTCTTCAGCAGGCAAAGTTATAACCTGCTTTTCACCAGTGCTATAAACTACACCTCAAAAAGCAAGAGTGTTAGAAGGTGCTCAGATGACTAAGGGTATTTAATCAAACCGATGTTAGCTAGAGAACCGAATGAAAGCAATCAGAAGAAAACCAGCATCAGCAAACCCCACATCGTGTAAACCGGGGTCAAATCACGATAAACCAGACTGAATGACTGTACAGAAACTTCGGTTTTATCCCCAAACCGAATGGGCCAGGTTCACTGCTGGCAGTTCACTTAAGAACATTAACACTGACCACAGGCGTTACAGCTTGGACTGAGCGTTGCCCCCGGGCTCTTACTGCTGCGGCTTTCCCTTTGCAGAAAGAACAAAACACGGAAAGGGGACACTTTCTCTTCCCAACACAGCCCGCCGCGGCATTTTCCATCAAACCTGCCAGCACGAACGGAAGGAGCAAGCAGTCCCTCCACACCAGGCCTCTCTGATGGCTGGGTGCAGCACCCCGAGCCCTCCCCGCCATGTAACCCCGTGCCTCGCCAGCCGTTACGCCGCTGCAAGGCGGCTCGGGAGTGGGGGTTCGAGGTTCATCACCACCCCGGAGCAGGCCTCACTCGGGTAGCTCACCCGAAGTTAAAGCCCAGTTTTACAGCTGTGGCGACTGCTGCTCGCCAGGCTCGGAGAGCCCCGGGACCACCGCTCCGCCCCGAGGGAAGTGAGCGATGGTGGCTCTGCCCGCCGCGGCGCGCCCCGGCTACTCTCCGGGACAGGAGAAGCATAAAAGCCGAGGGGACCCTACGCTCTCCGGCGGCCATGCCGAGACCTGGACAGCTGTCCTCCACCGCCGGCAGAGCTGGCCCGGGCGCCACTCGCCCCGGCAGGGGCCCACCACCACCCATCCCCTTACACGACTACCCGAGTTCAACACACCCCACCATCCTCCTCCCTCTCTTTGTATTTTTAAACCACGCTACAGCATCCCGCTCCTCCCAATCAAACCGCGCGCAGACCCCAGCGGCCAATAGCGCGGGCCCCCGCGGTTTTTTAAACCGACCCTCTCCCCCAATCGCCGCCCAGCGCTCTTAGTCCCGCCCCTTCCACTATCCTCACCCCAACCGGTTCCAACGAGTATGAGAGCTAACGACCCCCTGCGCTCGACCTAGCCGAAGAACTGCTCGGCCACTGACGTCAGAAACGCAGCCAGCGAATCCCAGGCAGCTCTGGCCGTAGTGGGCGGGGCTGCAGGCAGTTTGAACCGGTGCGGTAGCCAATCCGCTGTGGCAGGGGGCGGGCCCTCAGGCGCCGCGGGTCAAGTTGCTGTGGCGGGTAGAGCTGTGGAAAACAAGAGGCTGTAAGTGCGCCGCCGGGAAACCATTCAGCAGTAGCCGCGGAGGGAGTACAGCCCAGTGCCGCCAACGAACTCATCCCAGTCAGGCAAGGCCCCGCTCACCCCCGGCCGCGGGGAGGGCTCCGGGAGGGAAGGAGAGAGGGAGCAGGGAGGCGGGAGCCCCGCCGCCTGTCCTGGGCGGGGAAGGAGCGCGGGGTTGCCAAGGCCGGCTGTGCGGCCAAGCCTGAGGCAGGAATCCCGCCGGGCGGGTGGGCCGGGTGGGGAGGGCGGCCCCACCGGGGCGGGCTGGAGCGCGGGCGGTGGCTCCGTGGGGGCCGGCAGCGGCGGGAGGCGGGTGGAGGCGCCTGGTGGCGGGAGGGACCGCGAGGCGGGCGGGCGGGCGGCAGCGAGGTCGGCGGCGGGGGAGGGGCCGCGGCTGCGGGGGGTGTGCTCGGGCGGGAAGCGCCGGCAGAGAGAGGCGGGAGCGGCCGGAGGCGCGGCTCCGCCCGGCGCTGCGCCCGCCCTCAGGCCGCCTCTCCTTTCCTGCTGCCCCCCTCAGGGACCCTCCGCTGACCGCGCCATGGGCAAAGGCGACCCCAACAAGCCGCGGGGCAAGATGTCCTCGTACGCCTACTTCGTGCAGACCTGCCGCGAGGAGCACAAGAAGAAGCACCCGGACTCGTCCGTCAACTTCGCCGAGTTCTCGCGGAAATGCTCTGAGCGGTGGAAGGTGAGAAGGGCCGGGCCGGGCCGGGCTGAGCTCGGCCGGGCCGGCCCCCGCCTGTCCTGCGGGCTGCTGGGAAAAGCACCCTGGTGGCAGCTGCTGCTGAGGCGTTAGTGGGTCACCGGGCGCTTTATCTTATGCTTTTACCTCCACGTGTCTGCAGACAATGTCTAGCAAGGAAAAGGGGAAGTTTGAAGAAATGGCGAAAGGAGACAAAGCTCGTTATGACAGGGAGATGAAGAACTATGTTCCTCCCAAAGGCGAGAAGAAGGGAAAGAAAAAGGACCCCAATGCTCCTAAAAGACCACCGTGAGTGTTTCTGTGACAAAAAAAAAAAAAAGAGAAAAAAGTATTATTTCTACTAGTCTGGCACTTACCTTTAATCACTGTCTCTTATTTTAGGTCTGCGTTCTTCCTTTTCTGTTCCGAACACCGTCCAAAAATCAAAAATGATCATCCTGGCTTGTCTATTGGAGATACAGCAAAGAAATTAGGTGAAATGTGGTCTGAACAGTCTGCCAAAGACAAACTGCCATATGAACAGAAGGCTGCAAAATTAAAGGAGAAATACGAAAAGGTACAGTGAAAGTGATAAAATAATGGCTGAAGTTGTACAGGTGACTGTTTGACTTGTTTTCCACCTAAACCATGTATACCTCATAGCTACATCTTTATGTCAGCCCTTGTCAGGCTTCAGAGGGCAGGGTATGATGTGAGAGGTGTCTGGAACCCTTGCAGTGAACCTGG